GTACATATACATATCTAGATCTATATCTAAAACTATATCCATAACTTAACTATATATATATGAATATATATATATATATATACATATATATATGCGTGTATATATGTATATTAAGTATATATACATATATGTATATATATATAAATATACATATATGTATATATATATATATATATATATAATCGCATTCAATCTATAAAAACTCTAAAACCGCATCCTTTACTGTCAAGAGTGAAACTAGTATGTAAATCTGTATTTATTTATTTAAATTGCAGTTAATTTGAAGGCCGCCGGCAACTTACTCGGCAGCTCTGCACTCTGGCTCGGGATATTCACAATCCTCACAAGGGTCACAAGCAATCTCCGACCCAATGAGCGTCATGGTACCATCCTCTGCGCATTCGAACGTGTTGCATCCGTCAAAGAAATTTTCTGCACACTCTTCAGGGCACTTTGGCTCGAAGCAGTTGCACGTGGGGCATCCCTCGGCGTCATTCTCGAAATATAATGGGCAGAAGGGAGCGTCGGAACAGTCGACAACATCACACTTAGGATCGGGCATGCATTCACACATGGGACAGCCACCATTATCCATAACGTTTCCGAATTCACAGAAAATAGTGCATACAGGGCCACATTCTGGCTCAGGGCCGTTCTCGAATGGGTTTGAACCGTCATATATGCACTCCGCCTCTCCATCTACTACTAGGCAACCGACATCCTGAGGACATGCATTAATCACGGAACAGGGATCAGGCTTACATTCGCAGATAGGGCATCCATCCTCACCCAAAACGTTTCCGAATTCGCAGGCTATTTTGCATTGTGCGCCACACTCCAGTTCAAAGGTGTCACTCACTTCGGGATCAAGGACGATTGTCACTTCATCGACTACATCCTCTTGTGCGGCGACGGCCAGAGCCATAGCGCACAAGGTAAGGGAAACAACTGAGAATCTCATAGTTTAATATTCAAATATTGATGTAGTGATTGATAACTAACTTTTGATATTGGCGTAATTGAATGACTATTTTATCGCTACATCGGTGTCTTTATATAACCTTTTTGTCAGCCCAAAAATACTTTTTTTAAAAGCGCATATACCGTGGGGCGTGGGCGTGATCCGACACATATTTACATAAATATTTATTCTTCATACGTAAATAGCTATTTAAAAAAAACCCCTACATACAGTAGATGAGTAGTAAATTGATTAAAAAAATAATTACGAATGTGTTTATTTTAGAAAAATGCCAGAGGTGTTGGCCAGAGTCTCAGAGGCCAGAGGCCCTGAGCCCCGAGTGTTTTAGTGTTTTCGTGGACATTTTGGTAAAATGTTTCTGCAACTTCCGGGTTCCGGCAGGCGGCAAATAAATGTTTCTAATTGTTTCCATAAATGAGTAGAAATATATGCAGATTTCAGAGTATTGAGCATATGATGGTATTTCATTGGATTTTATGATTACCAATCGCTTCGATCTATAGGCTTTAATTTTCTTAATTAGGGCAAAAAATAGTTAAAATATGGAAAATTGAAAATCTGGACGTGGTGAAATATTGAAAATACAATACGGCATCACCAATAGCGTTGTAATACCCCCACGAGCGATGACTAGAGAGAAAGAGAGAGAGCGATCTTGGACTTCCAGTTCTGACGCGAGCGAAGCCTTCCAATTTACAACACTCCACTAATTGCTCTCTACTCTACTACAAAGCGCAACTCTGATACGGGTGATTCGGGCAAATGACCAGGCTCATCAGGCCTCAGGCTGACCCCAGCCGACCAGGTCAATAAATTTTATTATTAAAAATAAATACATTTTTATGTTCGATAGAGTTTTAGTTATTAACCAATGAAGTTAATGATGTTTACAAAATATATACCGGTGTAAAAATATAATAAATGTACCATTAGATCGTTTCAGTTTTTGAACCAGGTCCAGTCTCCAGCTGTCCAGCAGTTGTCCAGACTCCTTCTGTCCTGCAGTTGTCAAAACTCCAACCTTGAAAACTGAGAGGAACTCAACCGGTGGGGTTTTTTGTTGTTGATATTGTTAGTGTGGGCTTCAGAGGCCATATTCTCTACTCAACTCACTAAATACTCGGTATGAAACTATGAATAGAGGGGAGTATGTATTTATATACTATATAGATCAGCTATGCTGAGAACCTGTATGAAAATTCAAAATTGATTTACATAAATACGTTCTCCCATAACTTTTACTTTTTCAGAGATGGTCATGATTCAATATTTTGTTTACAAGAAATCTTTCTCCCATAATTTCTACTTTTTCAGATATGGTTATGATTGAATGCATATTTACATGTTTACAAAATAACTTACAAGTTTTGAAGTTATTTTTTTTAAAAGCCAGCCAGCCTTTTATAAACACACACGCCTGCACTGAGGTTTCTCAGGTGATTATAGTCACGGCTTAGGCTTATTAAAAGGGGTTTTAGTTATTTAGTTATGTTATAGGCATATGGGGCTTCTTTAGTCATAAGGCGGTTCGGATGTGCTACTTTGGTTTAGGAAAACGACAGTGACGAGTGATCAGTGACGATGGATACACTGACAGTGACGAGTGACGAGTCATCCATCAGGAGATGTGGGGGACTTTTGACTTACAATTTTGGTCCTGACCCCTTTTTGTACCTATAGGGTTTCAGGCCAGATTGGGTCTCGATACTTAAAATACTTTTTCTCAGCCGCTATATAAAGCCTAAAGCCAATATAAGACAATATGAAGTCAATATGAAGCCAATATGAAGCCAATATGAAGCCAATTTTCTAAAATATAGTCCAAATTCGCCCAAAACGAAGCCAACAACGGAAAGCCCCTATAGTCATCATTTGAATACCGAACTGTGTCAATATTTTACGTCAATGTTCGAGTGTGGCAGTCCAAAACAGGCCCATATATGTAGAAAATACACTTGAAGTTAAAAGTCACAAATGCACTTAAGTCCCAAAAACCGATGGGGGGGAGCCTAAACCAAGGGATATAGTTTATTATTGAGTCATAATATTTTTTAGGCCTTTTATTGTGCTTTGCTTTTACGTTTGACTGTACATTTGTAAATATTATATTTTATTTATTTAAAAAAAAAATAATATATATATATATATAAATATAAAGTGTTCTCGTCTGCAATCGCCAATCTGCATTGTCGACTGTCGTGAGTGTCGTGGCACTCTGCAGCAATGCACTGAATGCGCTCTGGCCTCTGCAGTGAGTCTGCACGCGTGTGTGGTAAATTAAAAGAGACAAGAGACTTTGAAGAGAGCGTGCATGTGTCTCAGTGTCTGCAGTCTGCAGTCTGCACTCTGCAGTCGGACGGCAGTGTATTTGAGTCTCATGACTGATGGATGACTCGTCAGTCGTCACTGTCAGAGTATCCATCGTCACTGATCACTCGTCAGTCGTCACTGTGGTTTTTATAAAAATAGTCGCGGACTCGCAGTCTCGCGGTCGGCGAAACGATGCCTACAAATTTTGTTTTTTTGTTTTTTTGTTTTTTTAAAACAAATTAGAAACATCAATACGTAATTATCAGTTAATCATACATCGCCTATATATATTTTAAATTAGACTGAATACTACAGAAACTGACAAGTCGTCATGCATATTTACCGAATACCGAAGCACTTTAAATGTCTTCGCATCCAAACCTATCTCATACAGACGATCTCTCTCTTCAATTTGCTATGAAGGAGGGTTGGTATTGATAGTCGGCATTAAATATAATATTCATGTTACCTAATTCTATACGACTTCTCTGGCTATCATCTACTTAATTATTAGTCTCGGATTACTTCACTGTAAAATATGCGTATAAATATTATCAATGTAGCCTAGTACAGACCGCTTGATATTACTTTATATCCGAGATCACAGAAATAAATGCCGCAGCAACTCTCAACAACATCATGCGCACTCTTAGCTGTATTCAAATAAAGTTTCAACGGAAGTGCATCAAATTGAAACAACCCGGAATTGGTTTTTCAATTTCACGACCTCTAATCGTCCCATAAAATGAATGTTAAATATCTGCAATTAAGATTTCGCTTTTAATTTGATCGGACGCCCACCCAATCAGCCAACTAGCTTAACAGAGTGCCGTGACACACTCATGTGCAAATCGAATCCACGACCAGCTCGAACAGCTCATTTGCAGCCAAGAGTTAAAACCATTGGGCTGTTCTGAACGAGAGTACAGTCTCTTGAACAGAATGTCGCTTGTATATAGAACTGCTGGTACAAAATATAAACCAACCCAGGTTCAAGGTTCCGTCACTCACATGTGGAAAAGAGAGGTGAATGCCGTCTCATACAAAAAGTAGAATGAATTTCGAACTATGTAAATAACGAAGCCTCGTACCTTTGCCTCATGAAACAATCGTACAAAATAGTGTATAGACAGCCCGTTCAATCTTCCGGCCTCCGGGATGTGTATCGTATTTTCTTGTTGGATTTCAATTCGAGTCAAAACGATCTTCAAAGTTCGCAAATGACAAACCGAACATAATAGTCTCGCACAACACCCTAAAAATATTGAAGTATTACACTTCAAGCCCCCTACAATAGCCGTTGCAATTCTACACTACTTTTGATGCATGTAGTTCGTATCGAATCGGCAAGAAGAGATATCGCAAGACTAAAGCTTCAGCTTAGATTGTGTAAGGAGGGATGGATCATATCATGCACAAGTCGCGAATTAGTACTTTATTCCAATATTATGACTGGTTGATAAATTTACGTATACCGCTTAGCCATGAAGCGTGTTGCAGCGTGGAAACCAATGCTGAGTTCGAAACCCCACGGAATATCGGAATTCAATACGTATACTATTATACACCGAGCGCACTGTTACCCGCTTCGAGATTTTTCAGACAGGCTTCCCGTATGTGGCGCTGAAGTTGTTTCAAATCTGTATTTGGGCGGAGTGTCAAGGCAGGGAAAGAAAAGGTTGGGTTTTTTTATTTCGGTAGTGTTGGAGTCTAAGACCCTGTGTTAATTTGAATATTGACATATATAATCTGGTAGATTATACACAAAATTGAATTATAACTAGTAAATAGTACATAGACATAAGCCCTAACCCACAATGTACGTAGTGTTGACACGTACTGATATTACCCGCTGAATTCCGGTGATCGTGAGACTTAAGTATAAGATCGACAAAGCACGATTGGCTACACATAGAACTTTTAGTGGTGCAGTGAAATGATATAGTGTTGTACAGGCTTAATTTTAAACCATCGGCGTCAATATATGCCTATGTTCCCATTTGCAAGGTGCGCATACTTGGCACTCTTAAAATACTATATATATATATATATATATATATATGATGCACGTCAATCTACAACAATACGCCTTGAAATATTATGTGGTTCGAGTTCGAGTACGGTTTTATATTCAGTGTTTTTTTAGGAACCAATGTTTTACAACTGTAAAATCAAATAAATAGATGAAAACTATCCAAATGTCAATATAGTTCATTATCACTACCTGTACAAATGAGCAGATAACAATCAATTCAAGCATTGATACATAATGAAGGCATGCAAACGTCACATAAAGATGGGTACTTGTGTCGTAACATCAACTAAGCCTCACCGCACAGCATAACGAACTGATAGGGGATATACAAAACCAAGCACAGTGAATACAAACCAAAACCTCAACAGAAACGATACCATCGATCTACGCGTTACCAAAGTAAAGGCTCGCACTCGACACCATATACATGTAAACGCATGTTAGTAACTACTGTCTCGTTCTAACTCACAAGAGAAAAACATACCGTTCGTGGAACAAACGTGGGGATCGGTATAACTGTAGGCAACGTTGCCCACATAGCGGGCGGTGTATTTGATGGCATCAGCGTATTTCCCCATGCCCATATGCACCTGCGAGAATAGATATATAATAAGAAAAATAGAACCTGTTAGGAAGTGTTTATGAGTGTACTCACGCGCCGATGCACAATCGCGAAACAATGGGAAAAGCAGTCATAGTGCATTATACAAACCCAAAAAAAAATACCGAGACAAACCCAAAGCAACATGTATCAAGAAACTAT